GACACTCGGAAATCCGGTCGACGCTCCCATTTGGATCCAGGTTTATCTTCTTGTACACATGTATTTGTCCGTTTCGACAGCGTGAAGCGACCGTTGCAATATCCGTATGATAGTGGGTTTAAAGTTATTTTTCGCAAGGTCAAATACTTTTGTGATTGGAAGGAACGGAAAACCGGACACCGTCGTCATCGACAGGCTAAAAGTTGCACTCATCGATGACGAATCTCACTTAAATCCCGCTACTTTAGTCACAAGTTATCGAACCTCTTGTGCAGTCATCCCAGGGAACCCCGAACATATTGCATGACATATTGACGCACATCCGTCAACAGTCGCACACAATAACTCATTTTAGGAGGACTTACATAACAAACGGTTTCCGAGTTATCGCCAAGTGACTCGCTCAAACTGTGGCCGACATCAATAGGCGTAACTGATTAGGAAGCTGACTGGTTTGTAATAACGGCGTACGTCGTCCATCCGATGATCAAGGGATTCTAGGTCGCCGCAGCCGAAGCACTTCAGTGGATGCATGGGGGCAGAGGCAAACGCCTCGGCGCTGACGATAGTTGTCAGCACATACTTATGTAATAGGTTCCACCAAACTATGATTGTGGCTTTCTTATTAAAATTTCTCACTGTATGATGCACAGATGTTAGTGAATTGCGTGACGGTGTCACGTGCAATCACTCACCTGACCTGTAATATATTCATCCATACACATTTGTTTTAAGAAATTAAACAGACCATTTGGTAATCCCCCATCCATTCATCCAGCTGATTTTGGCCCATCTACCGGAAGATTTGAGTACTTTAGTAAACCCCTTTTTGGGTACAGCTTTTGATCGATTAATTTTCTGACGGTACAAGCGACTGCGCCCACACAAAACTCTCGGGAAAATTCAATACGGCTGCCTTAAGTTTGCACGCTTAACTTTGGCATCTAAAGTAGTATTCAAATCCCCTAAAGTTACAGCCGTCTGTTCACGGAAGTGATTCTCGCCTAAGCCGTGGAATACAATAACTGGCGGGCTGGTTCTATTTTGATTCGAAAGTATTTTATATCCAAGTGTATACACACGAGAATTGATAATTTGTTTTGCCACAGAATACCGGGAGACCTACAGGCAACTGGTGCTTCATTGCTGAAATTTGGTGCTTGGATAGAGCTGACTTATTTAAAAGTTTTTGTAGATGATAAGCGTGAATCTCATTACGGAAGCAGATATCTTGTGAAGAATTCAAGGCATTTTAATCACTTAAAAGTAACGCTCATTTCACGATACTTGCCTTGTGATTGCCAAACGTTTTCCTCGTGCATCTAGACAAAAGCCCGTCAAGCGGAACGTCCGAGTCGGGCGCCACCGACCTGCATAAAATTTACATAGAGAATAAAATATTTGGCAACTGGAACAAGGCGCGGTCTGTCATCTATAAGGCTGCAGTATACAATAAAACATTCATGAAATTGTATCGGATTAGGTCACGCCAAAGAACGATATGAAAATATGTCAAAACCCCTTTTTCATGTAACAAAATTGAACCAAAAGGTTTATTGCTTCTTGTTTCATTGAACGAAGTTTTCACTGAGAAAGTCTCCGGATAATTTCAAGATAATGGATTATGTTCCCTTCTTCCAATGATTATTGTTAGTTTGCCTTGACGTAAGCAGTGGAGGGGGCCCAAATTATTCGGGCTTGTAAACACCAAGAGAAAGTGAAATTAACCTTACTCAAGGCGCCTTCTAAATTGTAACGGAATATAGACGCAGTTCGCTTACGTCAACTGTTATTTTTCCTGGAAAAGTGGTCCAGTAAATTTGGTCTACGAGCATTGGATGGAAGGTCGCCCGTTTTTTTCATCTGATCATTCATAAATCCTCATCACGAAATGGCAGATTTCGTAAAAATGGTTTCGCAAAAGAGTTGCGATTGTAACGAATTTTGTAAGGAGGATGGAATGATAAACCAGAGGAGACCAGGAATATTTTGCCTAAAAGATACATAACCACTGGCTTTGTTCAGGCCGCTTATAATTATTATTCGATAACTAAGCTAACTTTCATTATTAGGTTCTGGCCTAATTTTCATAACAACTGACAAACAATTTACAAGAAATTAGCATCAAGAAGGTTACATCTAGTTGTCAGTTGCGGAGCAAAAATTTGGACGAATGACTTAATATCAGTAGCATAGCGAAAGAAATTTTAGCGTGTCTGTGAAACCCCAATTTGCCTGGCAGTTGCTCATAATCATATAACTTAGATGGCCCTGGTTCACGATGCGTTCCGGTCCCGCGTTTGTCCGTTGGCAGTGTTGGCAAAGAGTAAACCAACAATTCATTGCACATTTCCGGTTTTCAGCTTCCATGTTGATCGAAGGAAGGACAAGAGCCTGAATATCGCGGGTTATTCAAGATCAGAGAGGAGTCGTTGAGAGCTGGATGTGGGATTCGGTCCCAACCTGCAGGTCCGTATGCCACTGATCAAATCAGTGAAACTGTGCTCTCTTATTGGGAAGCGGGCGTAAGAAATTTCACAGCGGTTGACGCGTTTGACTCCAGTAACAGAGTAGTATACGTCCTGTTATTTGATGATTTTTACTAGCAAAACAGGTTCATATTTAAATCATCGGAAGTCCCGTTATGAAGTCGATTTGTGTTGTCTGACAGGAGACCATTCCGTGAGCCAACTGCGAGTTTGAAAATCACCTGAAGTAGGTGCACATTACAAACGAGGGAAGAAGACAACTGTGGAAACCGGTAATTAGCTGTGAGGAAAATTTCATAGGACCGAGTTTTACTTTGGGAACACGTGGGTGCGGTAATATTTTAGACAACATGGCAATCAGTGAGGGCATAATACGCATGGCGCCCCGAGGGCTTGAATATTTTGTTAGCGAAGGAAAAGCGTGTCAATGAATGGCTCACTGAAAGACACAAAATATGTAATGCCCAATATATGACAATTGAATTACTTATACCACATGTTGGTCACTTCTCTATATCGGTAAATCAGAAAGCGCTTTTTTCGTAGTTAACTGTCGCTAAGTATCCGTGGAGCGATCGTCAGCACACTGATCTCGTATAAGTAAAAAACGCACATTCAACATCTGCCGAAAAATGACTGCGAGCATTCCACAAAACGCATGTGCATTTGCTTAAATTACAGTCAGTAATTAACACAATTTTTCTAAAAGTAGCATGCAAAGTGGCAGCTACCGCATGTCCACAAGCTTCCACATCATCGCCGGCAATGAAGAGAACTCGCGTTCATTTCATTCCGGTTTCTTCCAGGTAGTTTCCCGTGATCACCGGAGGGATTGCCCAAACAAATATTCGACTGGCAGGCAACAACACCACCACAAATGGAAAAATGGTTCATACTCGGATATATATGATAAAGAAAGAGGATACCCTAATCACTGTGCGAATCCCCGAACCAGTTCAACGTATTATGTGAAGCTTTCAATTACCTGGAGTTTTGCCTAGTTAACACATTTCATAGAACTAAATTCTTCATATGTTTTACTAAATGTATACAAGAATCCCGTATAAACCCCGTGACTACCGTCAAGCCTGGATACAGGAACAGCATGTTCCGCAGAATCCACATCATTCTGGTGTTATTACCCACAGCAACCAGAGCCCTGTGTCCTCCGGACTATACGCGGTTGTCAGCGGACGTGTGTACAATTCAACTCAATGAATCTCGCCATTTCTGTGATGCATGTAACTTGTGTTCTAACTATGGGAAACAACACAATCAACTGGTTTTCCTCCATGGAAGGAATGTGAATTTGGTCAAGACTATTCTCCAACCCGGCTCTAGAGCTTGGAACGGAATGCATGGGTTTTTGGGGATACCCGAATTTAAATCAGTCGCAGGATGGCGCGATTTGGATCCTAAAACGCCAGAAATTACTTCGGCACCCGATCTATTCAAATGGGCAGTCAATCAGCCTGACGGCAATCAACCTAATCTGGCATATCATAAGAAATATGACGCGATGTACGACATTCATTCTGGTCCAGCAAATTATGTGCGAGAAGTCCATTGCGAGTATGGGGGTGAACTGCAAAAGTCTGATTCAAATGTCCGGTTCAGAGCCGATTTTCCGAAGAGTTTCCATAACATTGTTCAGCCACA